CTTGTCGGTAAAGTGGGTGTCGGTAAAGTGTCCTGTCGGTAAAGTGGGTGTCGGTAAAGTGTCCGGGTCCGTAATAAGATAAATAAAGAATAATAAATTTTCAAATTTTAATTTACAAATAGGCGAAGGAAGATTAGAATTTCATAATTTATATATGTATATTTTGTTAATGTAAATTGTTTTATAGAAAACTTTTCAGTGAAATGTTCCCTTAGTTCAAAAAACTTATAATAAATTCCATTGCCATTTGTGATATTTTTTCAAATTCAAATAATTCAAATAAATTAGAGATTGATTATCAGAATGGTATAGAACTCTGAAGGTTGATTAACTAGTGTAATGTAGCAAGGTTATTTGCTCAGTAAAGAAGCAAAGGACTATTCCTAATGTTTCAATAGACGAAGCTGTAAAGCTTTTGAAACTGTTTTTAATTTTCTTGAACAAAAATATATAATGAATTAAAAGCTTTAAAATTCAATGTAAATGTTGTGCGTGAAAATGAAATCTGTGAATTTGCAATTCACGTATGTGAAATTCAAATTAGCCAAAATTTTAACAATTTTCAATAATAACTGATTATTAGTATTTTAATTTTTTAAGTATTATTATATGAGGCATGCTGCAACAAAACCAGACAAAGTGAACATTGGTATTACCAAGAATTTAAGAGATCAAAATTTAGTAATGTGATTATTAAAACCTCTCATTTATTTGTTATCTTTGTTTTTTTCCTTAATATTAAGTGATATATATAGAATTACTCCTATATAAAAATAATCAATATGAAGCTAAATTATAGCACCATTAGAAGTATTTTGAAAAAGGAACAGGTGAAAAAATTGCACCTTATATTTTTTAAATTAGCAGATACTAAATCCTTGCAAACATATTAAGACAAAGAAAGAATTACTTTATGAAATTTACCAAGAAGAAAGGAAAATAATAAAAAGAAAGCAGGATGAGAACATACAATTATAAAACAAAAAGCAGAAACTTTTGGAAAAAAAATAATCTTATTATTATTACAATATTGATTTATTCTTTTTACTGATGAAAGGAAATTCTCCTTTATGCAAATGTAATTAACAATCATCATATTGCGTTGCATTGCTTATCAATAAAAAAAGGTAGTTTGAATGAATTTTACATTCAAGAATATGTTTATAAATCTTTGTTTGATGTTGAAACAAGGTAAATAATTCCACCTTATGTTGGAACATTATAAAAAATCACCAGTTCATTTATTTTTCAGGTAAAAAGACAAAACCTTCAATAATCATTGTTAAACAAAATTTAAAAACCAAACAATCAGTAAAATATTTACAATATTTTCATTCACAATAATATTTTAAAGATTGTCAATTGGATTCTTTCTTAGTTTCTTAATTCATTATGAAACTTATAAAAATCAATTCTATATTACAAATCAAAAAATCGATCAAATAATTGGTAAAATAGAAACAAGAAAAAGCCAATTTAAAAATAAATTAAACAACTTACTGGTGGTAAAAATATTCACAAAGATTGAAAATCTATGGAAGAATTCCAAACAATTATTTTACAAAAAGATTGGATTGATTGGATTGATTGGATTGAATTTTAATTTTTCATTTAATGAAATGGCCATTGAAATTCACTTGTTAATTGCAGAGGAAAAAGATGCTGCTGCCTCTAAAATAAAAAGCTTCTACCAACAAAAAACGAAAAGGATGATTAAAAATAATGATGTAAATATTAATATTAGTAATAACAATATTATTGATAATAGTAGAAATAGTAGTAGTGAAGGTTAAATTTTTGTCAAAGTGCCCAAAGAATAGGTAATACTCATAGATGGCTTTGGGACCGAGTATTTCCTCCCATGCAAGTGCTCTAAATAAATAGTAATTCCAAATCATGTGCCCACCGATTTATCATTGGTCGAAATTATGCATAAGAATCAACAAAAAAATCGATTTTTAATTTTACAATATTTTTTTTTATAAAATGGCAATCAAAAAAGAAATCAAAAAATTAGAAGTTCCAAAGGAAGAATATAAGAAGGCAACAGAGAAGTTTGATAAGTGAGAAAGGGAGAAAGAGAATAGGTTGGATGAGTTAGAAGATAAGTTGACTGATGGAAACTGGAAGAGCAATGAGCAGAGAAAAGGGTGGGAGAAAATCTGGAGAAGGAAAAGAAGAGTTAAAGTTGAAGAAGAGATAATGTTGGGAAGAAAAGAAGAAGGAGAGACGCATTGTTGAAGATAGATGAAGGGAAAGGTAATGAACAAATGTGTTAAAAAATATGCAAAAAATTATTTTCCATTCATTCCATTTCATTTATTTATTTACTTATTCATTTGATATACTGTTTATAACTTTTATTATTACTGATTTGTTGATGACTTGCTTAATATTATCCATAACCTTTTTTAATATCCACTTGTTTCCATTTATTCCATTTTGTTTATTTATTTGTTTTATTTCATAACTTTAACTGATTTGCACCTTTTTATGATTATTTTTAATTAGTGTTCCATGTCGCAATCCAAAAAAGGAAACAAAATGGTCATAAAGGTGGTTGCAATCATTTTTATATGACGCAAAGATGGTAGCAACCATCATCAAAAGTTGCAGCTGGTATCCTTATTTTTAATATTATCAATACTAGTGTTCCATGTCGCAATCCAAAAAAGGAAACCAAAGTGGTCGCAAAGGTGGTTGCAACCAGGTCGCAAACCATTTTTATATGTTGCAAATATGGTTGCAACCATCACCAAGAATTGCGACCAGCATCTATAATCAATACATTTATTATTCTATCAAAATGTTTCCATGACATGAAAAAAGGAGAGAAGCAGAAGGCAAAAGGTAAATTTTACATAATGCGTATTTAGATATGCACTCATTTTTTATCTTTTAATTCACATTTATTGATTCTTTCTTTACTCTCAGAGGGAGAAGATCCAGTTGAAACTCAAGATTGGATTATAAAGACAGTAAAAAATAATGACATAGATGGCTGTTCATTTTAAATGTTTAGAAAGAAAACAAAAATGAGCAAATGTCATGTGTCATTGTCCAGAGTATGTTGGACATCCTGCCATTTGGTTTTGTGATGCTTTTGTCCAATTTCATCATGACTTGAAAAGTACAATGCAAATTCCAAGGGTATTGCATTAAAGCTATGTGAGGAGGTGTCAAAAACATATGTTGCTATTAATGGCAAACATGAAACAGGAGAGAACGTCCTATATAAGGAATGGATTTTCACAATTGATTTCAATTTTTTTTATACAGTTTAAAATACT